AAGATGGACCAGAGAACTAAATTAAACTTGAGGTTGCTCTAATCTGCAAAAAATTGGCTTTGTCAGTCCCTAGATGGTGCAAATAGCAATGTGAATACCTCCTATGGTTACTATCAAGGACTGACCCTGTGTTAGCTGTTCCTCATGGGAGTAGACACAGGGAGGGGAGCATGTGTTGCTTTCTTCCCCATTGTGTAGGATGCTGTGATGGGACTGCAGCACTCAGTGGGTGATGTGGTGGAGAAGGGCTGAGGCCTTCGGCTCCCATCTATCCCATGAAAGATGATGATGAGCATGGATGAACACCCAGACTGGGCTGGGCTCCACTGCATGAAAATGTGAGGCAAGAATCAGCTGCAAGAACTGAATGGTGTCAAACCTTTCTCTTGGCAAGGGCCAACCTAATTCAGTGAGCACAGTGGGGCTAGGTCAGTATGTGTTGAGGAGTTACTGCTTTTAATAAGGGTAAAGCCACACTATCAGTGGGGTTAGGTCAGTATGTGTTGAAGAGCCTTTTGCTCGAGTGACTGCTTTTAATAAGGGTAAAGCCACACTATCCTGCAGCATTAATTGTTCTGATACTCATCCTCCTGGTAGGCATGGGAAGAAGAATTTTTTTCTCCTGCTGTAAATGGTGTTAAATTGTGTATTTGTATGTATGCAAGTGCTTTCAAATGCAAAGAAAACAAGACCTGAAAAACTCTGCAGAAAAGTGCTCTGGAGGGCTTCCAGCTGGTTTGAGGTTTTTAAGAGCCTGTTATAAGATGTACCTTCAAAAGATCGATTTAAATGCTGCCTGCTTTATACTCATTGTTTATAAAGTTGAAAGCGTCGCTGATAGTGACTATTCATTGTCACAGCAGTTGCACACAGAACAGAAGCAGGTTGGTTTAACTCCATCCCTGCCGCGTCCTGGAGAGGCAGAGAGAGCAGGTGGCTCCACAGAGAGGAGCTCAGCACAGGCACGGAGGGACTGGTGGGGCAAGAAATGGAGTTCTCTCAGTAATAAAGTCAGTCGCCACCTGGCAGGATTGAGTAGACCGGGGAACTCTGTTGTTTTGTGTGTGTCTAACTGTGTGTTGTACAACATCAAGTTGCACGGTTCTGCCTGCTGTAGAAGCATCATTTTGTCCTCCTGCCGAGAGATTTGTTGTGTTCCCTTTGTTACAATTCAGAAGGCCCCCTTCAGCCTGGAGAAGAGGAGGCTCCAGGGAGACCTTATAGCGGCCTTTCAATATCTGAAGGGGGCCTATAGAAGAGCAGTGGAGGGACTCCTTGCCACGAAGGGTATTAATAGGACAAGGGGAAACGGCTTTAAATTGGAAGAAAAAAGATTCAGATTAGATCTCAGGAAGAAATTTTCTACTCTGAGGGTGGTGAGACACTGGAACAGGGTGCCCAGGGAAGTTGTGGATGCCCCATCCCTGGAGGGGTTCAAGGCCAGGCTGGATGGGGCTTTGAGCAACCTGGTCTGGTGGGAGGTGTCCCTGCCCATGGCAGGGGTGTTGGAACTCGATGATCTTTGAGGTCCCTTCCAACCCAAACCATTCTATGATTCTATGATAAGATGGTCTACAACTAGGGAATGGCTGTCAAACGGTTGTCCTCAAGACAGCTAGTGACAACTGTCTTGGGGCAGTTTCCATCACTGAATGCAGGAAATGCCTTTATGGTCCTTGAGCTCCTTGAGCTCTGTGGTTGTAAAAGATAGCCTCACAATTTTTCTTTAAGACCAGAGCACTGGAACAGGCTGCCCAGAGAGGTTGTGGAGCCTCCTTCTCTAGAGATATTAGAAACCCACCTGGATGCATTCGTATCCAACCTGCTATAGCTGAACCTGCTTTGACAGGGGGAGTTGAACTGTATGGTCTCTATGGTCCCTTCCAGCCCCTGCTGTTCTGTAGTTCTGTGTGATTCTGTTCTCTTGTGTGATTCTGGAACCATGACCAGAAGTCTGACTTGAGCATTTGCTACCCAAGGATGCTCTCATGGTGAAAGTAAGGGGCTTTTCCCAAGCCTCCTTCAGAGATGTGTAGGTCTCAGCATTGAGGAACAACGTTCTGTTTGTTTGCTTAGCATCCCTTAAGCTAGAACCATCACAGGGGATAAGGACATGATAAAGTCATGTCATCCCAGCTGCCACACCTTGAGAAATACCCACTTAATGCACTTGCCTGCTCCAGGTACTGGCAGACTTGAGAGCCTGGCAGTAGCAGACAGGAGCCATGAGAAAACTCTCCCAGGACAAGAGGAAGTGTAGGCTGGAGCCTGTCTGCAAACTTCTCCTCTGTGCTGTTCTAACCCTTTAACCTCGAGCGCACTGTTGAATTTTTGGTGGTTTCAAGCATGGGTTTTGCCACTTCCCATTTTTAACATGTTCTTTGGGTCTGTAACCTCAGGCTTAAGGAAGCTGTCTCCAATAATTTGTTGCAGCTTGCACTGCTTGATTATGTCTTGCTACTTGTAATGATGTTCTTAAGGCTGATCTCAAGCAATTTTTCTCCATGGGCCATTCCAGACAACTGACCTTTGTAAGAAGCAAGGGGTGTCAGTTGTCAGACAACTGACCTTTGTAAGAAGCAAGGGGAACTTAGAAGTCTTAGAGAAGAAAAGTCAGAGTGATGCCATTTTTCTTTTCAATAGTGTTTATGTACCACTGTATAGAACCTGGTAGACCATGAACTTACATATTAATCATGCTTAAGTCAAGTTTGTAGCTTTGAGCTTCATAGCTTTAGACAGCTGAGCATCAGAGTTCATGTATTGATCTTTGGATATCAATAGTCTGAAAGGTTTTCCACCCTTTCTTTCCTCAAGACCAGGCTGGATGGGACTTTAAGGAACCTGGTCTAGTGGGAGGTGTCCCTGCCCATGGCAGGGGAGTTGGAACTCTATGCTCTTTTAGGTCCCTTCCAACCCAAGCCTTTCTATGATTCTGTATGACAGAAGGATGCTGCCAAAGCCCCCGTTTTCAAGTTAGAGTCCCCAAATCAATTAAATGACAGAGAGATGCTGCCAAAGCCCCCATTTTCAAGTTAGAGTCCCCAAATCAATTAAATAGATACATCAGATGGTTGCTCAAACCCAAGAGCAAGCAGAGCATGACTGCTTGTTCTGCTGACTAAACATGGACTTCCAAGTTATGCATAAAGATGTGTGATAAGGTGTAGCCAAACTCAGTGGACTTTCCAAGGAAACACAGGGGTTTCCTCCTTCCCAATCCGCTGAAGCTGAATGTGGCCCATTTGAAGACCCATGAGGTTTCTTCTGTCCCAGTGTGATACATGTGGCTACTGGTCTGTTGTTGGCTAAACCTCATCACTTCCCTGTGTACCTTTACAAAGAGTGTCTGTTCAAGTGTTTTCCGGAATGGGCTCCTGAGCTCACATTGCTTCCAAGATTTATGCATTTCTGTACTAAATTGCCCATTTCCATTTGGCTTTCTTACTTACTTAAACTGAGTTATGTGCACAGACCCCTACAGATGCAAGACCTTCAAACTGAAAACCTGCACCCATTTGGTTTATTGACAAAATTTGTACTCGTTCCCTGGGAGGCCAGATCTGGCCCTGTACTTGTCAAATGACAGGTGGGGTTTCCAGCCAGGTATCCATTTAAAGGAGAGTACTGTAATTAAAAGGATCTGGCTAAAGAAATTGCACAAATTAGAGCAGACAGCTGTTACTCGAAAGGAACAACAACTTGGTTTTTTTAAATAGCCAGCTCTTGGCTTGCTGCCAGAGATGCTAATATTAGATCTTATGGATAAAAATCTTCCTTTAACAGTTAAAAATAAAGTGAAAATACTCTATTTCCCCCCTTAAAAAAAATCAGCAATAAGCAACAAAGGGAAGATATTAATAAATTTTAACGTAGCATAGAGATGAGCAACTTCAGATGTGTATGGAACAGAGAGGCTTTTGAGGAGAAAAAAATATCGCATCCATTTTATTTTATCCATACATTTATGAACAAAAGCTGAGATTCCTGAAACAGAAGTTTAATCTGGGAGCATAATTTATTGCACAAGTACTGTTCTTCCAGAAAAAGCCACTCCTCCTGCTTTGTAGGTGCAATTCAGTGTGGAAGGGATTGGTCTGAATCGGCCTCTGGCTTCTGTGGGGGCCTGAAGGTGAAGTTCTGGCTCATGAAGCAGCAAGGGTACATCAAGGATTGGAAAGGAAACCTTGGAGATTGGTTCTGCTCTTTATTCAGTACAGAGATTCTCTCCATCCTTCCTCGGTACCAGGAGCAGACTTTTCCACTGCCCTGGACAAATGACTGACGTTTGCATGCAACTGGGGACGTGGACAGGATCTTTTTTCCAGGCTTCTCTGACATGCAAGCACTCAATGGGCATCCAGAAATATGATTAATTCATGAATCTTCCCACTAGCAAGTTTTATCTTGCCTTGTTTAATAGAGCAGCTTTCAGGCTTAAAATGAAGCATGTGCTTAAAAGAGATTGCTGCATCTGGCCACTGTCTCTGGTAATTTGAAGTCAGACCCACGTGCCTCCACAGAAGATGTGCAGGAATGCAGTTAGCACCAGCTTAAGATGACTCACTCAATGGATAATGCACTGGGCTGGGAACCAGAGGAGACCTGAGATTTACTTCTACCTCTTCCACAAGTGCCCCTGGGGAGCTTGTCCATCTGTCTTTCTGTTATACAGGTGCTGTAGAGTTACTTATCCCCTTCTAGGGAGCCTTGAGGTCTGCTGGTAAAAATCAATGGCACCAGCTGGTTATTAGGTGGATTTGCAATGTTTGCTACTGCTTTTTATACAAATCCGAGCCGAGAGGGTGAGTAAGGGCATAGAGAACAAAGAGGAGAAATGAGGAGTCTGAAAAAGAAACTGCTTTCTCTCCAAAACTGTCGCTGTAATCTTTTCCTTCCTCATTTCAAGTGTTTTCTGGGTGGGTTTGGTTTTGGGGTTTTTTTCACTTTTACCTCGCCCTTCCCCATCCCTAATTGTCATCTTGTCTCATTCTCTATAGGAAAACCTCTTTTTTGTGATGGAATACCTCAATGGAGGAGACCTCATGTTCCATATCCAGAGCTGTCATAAGTTCGACCTTCCTAGAGCAACGTAAGATGTTATTATTACCTTTTGGCTTGCAGGTTGCACACATGGTCAAAGAAAAAGCAGCAGCTGCAGACACCAGGGATCCTGATTTTATTCCCAGCTCTGCTACTGTCCTGTAGAGGAAACCTTGGCCAAATCACTTGACCTCTCTGCAGCTCACCCAGCTGCAAAGTGGGGACAGTGCTTGTGCTGGAAGCAGAATCACTCTCCATCCCAGCTCTCTCTGAACTGAACAAAACAGGCAGGTCATCACCCCGACTCAACAATAGACTTGGAGCAAGGCACTTCCTCTCTCTGTCCTATTTCCCCTCCCACAGAAGGCTCTTCGTAGCCCATCCACATGTCTGATCTCAGTCAGACGTGAACTTGCTTTGCATTCTTGGTCAACTAGGGAAGCTATTTCTGGCTGGAAGTGGTACAGATCCTGCTACACCCTGGTCAGCGTTGCATCCTTTAGCCTGCAAATCGGGGACCTCTTTCTAGGCTGTGACCTGGCTCCTGTATTTCGCACTAACCTCAGCACCGTCCCACAAACGTTTGTTCAGAGCCAAGAGTTGAGCCAGATAGAAGCTGTCCCTTAGGCTGCCCTGTTTGCTGGATCAGTCCCTTTCCTGGGACTGCAGACCCTCAAACAAAGAAGGGCTCCAGAAGGACAGTTCAATCCACCTGAGATCCAAAAGCCCCAAGGGTGCCTAAGACCTTGATTACATGGCCCATGGATGAGGGTCATTTTAAAGCAACCTGCTGTGAATTACAGCAGCCCTGGGGTTGCTTTTTGTTGTACTCACTGAGTTCTGGCTCAGCCCATAATTACAGGTCCCAATAATTTGGGAAGTTTAAGCAACCTGGTCTGGTGGGAGGTGTCCCTGCCCAGGGCAGGGGGTTGGAACTAGATGATCTTTAAGGTCCCTTCCAACCCAAACCATCCTGTGTTTCTCTGATTCTAATAATGGTATTGTGGACCCAACCTCCACCCCAGATATACCACCATCAAAGAAATCCCACATGCATTTTCAACCATCTGTGGAACCAAATATCTTGTTCTTTGCAACACTGGGTGGCCTGTAACCAAGCTGCAAGACCTGCTTGAGCTGAGATTCCTGATCCAGTGATCAGAGGTGGAGCTGTTGGTTGTTAGAAGTAATGGAATTTTCCCTTTTCCTCTTTAAGGTTCAAGGGGGGGCCAGGGGGGAAGAGATAAAACCTATCAAAAGTGAAACAGGTAAATTTAAACAAAAAATTAATACACCAACAGAGAATTAAAAATTTATTTAGCTTTGATTAAAGTAAATAGAAGAATTAGAAGAAATGAAAGGTGCTTTTAATCCTTTTGTGAGCAAAAGGTATTTTAAAAGTCAATATTGAAAACACTATAGGAATTAATTTCTATTTAATAATTAAAAGAAACCCCAAACCTCATTTAAATGAGTGTTTTATTTGATTATTTTTTCAAAAGCATTTTGAATGTTCAGAATTAAGGGCCAAGGCATTGAAGACTGAAGGAACAGAGCTGTACAATACTTATATTCCCTTCTGGGAGAACACTTTCATTGTGCGATGGTCCTCCAGCCTTGTGCTGCCTCTTTGCACGTGGTGGTGTCCTCTAGGCAGAGCTGTGTTGAGAACAAAGATCTCAGACTCAAAAAGACTCCAGAGAAAGGCCACTGAGCTGCTAGCTAGTTGACATCTTGAGTAACAGTTCAAAATTAAGTCATAAATCTGAGCAGTGAAGAGGTCTGTTTGATGAGCCCAGGAGACTGGTCATGGGTCCCCAAACCCAGATGCCCACCTGCCTGTCCCATTGCTGGGATGACTCCACCATTTGTGCAGCAGCTACTGAACACGGCAAATTATAGCTGCTCTTTTGCAGTAATTTGCAGTTTGCAGTCTGGTGCATCACTGTAAATCATTGATGTCTAAATAAGGGATAGATACCACCTGGTCTGCCGCCTTTGTGACAGGGACCATATCTTAGGGCAGGTAGGCAGAAGGATCTGGGTGGTGTTTTTTTGCTCCACAGCTGATCTAGAGACATCCTTGGGCACTGATGGACATGTCCTCAGAGACAGTCGCGTATGAAAAACAGCAGCCAGCCATGCAGTGTGGCTTCTAAATCCCTGATGATGAGTAGGCTCCAAATCCCTACAGTTTAACAAAGTGGTTTCAGTGGGAATTGGGCTGCTGGCCATGTGGAATCTCCTTTTATGCATCAGTTACCTGTAAAACCCAGTTACCCCAAGCCTTCTGGAGACACTCCAAGCCTTCTGGGAGCTTAATGAAATTTTGGCTCCTGTGGAGACAGTTTCCATCGTTTTGGTCTAGTTGAAGGTGCCTGTTGGGAGGCATCCATTCTAACTTGTGCCTTCTATCACTCAGGTTTTATGCTGCTGAAATCATATGCGGGCTCCAGTTCCTCCATTCCAAGGGCATAATATACAGGTAATTTTACTCTTTAATGTCTAATATACTAAACTGTTCCTGCTTTCCCTGCAAGCACTAACGGTAACTGAGAGACTGTTCCTTGGATGTACTTACTGGTACTGCATTTCTATGCAGATTTCCTTTTTACAGTCTGGCTGTTTTATTTTGAAGAGAGAGTGTAGAAGAGGCAATTTTGAGACATTTTTGAGAATCCAGTCCTATTTCAGTTGACATTAAAACAAGCCCTATGATCCATTTACACTGAGTCATTCATATAGCACCCAGCATAGGCACCCAGTTTAAGCTTACCATGTATGAAGGCATATAAGGTAAAGCTAGCTATGAAAAATTTTATATATTTACTGTGTTGGTTGCCATGGGATAGTGGTGACAAGCTCAGCTCAAGTAATAATGGCAGGGAGACAGTGATGCACCTTAATTTTTAGGTTATTAAGAGGTTTTCTGTGCACAGTTCAGAGGGGAGATGGGATTCATCAAAGGGTGGGTGTCAAGAGGATGGGGCCAAACTCTTTTCAGTGGTGCCCAGTGACAGGACAAGGGGCAACAGCCACAAACTGGAACACAGGAAATTCTGTCTGAACCTAAGTAAAAGCTTCTTTACATTGAGGGTGCCACAGCCCTGGAGCAGGCTGCCCAGAGAGGTTGTGGAGTTTCCTTCTCTGGAGGTATTCAAAACCCATCTGGATGTGTTCCTGTCCAACATGCTCTGGGTGACCCTGCTTTGGCAGGGGGTTGGACTAGATGATCTCCAGAGGTCCCTTCCAACCCCATATCATTCTGTGATTCATCTCACCTACCATCATAAGTCTGAGCTAGCTACCCAAGATCTCGTAGCAAGTAGAGAGGAGTGGGCTTTTTTTATGTTGATCAAGCCTGTGTTAGAGTGTGTATGAATAGTGCCAATATCTACAGCAGGCTCCACAGGGAGCTGATGGGGACTAGGTAGGAGACTTCAGGCAGCTGCATTCAGACAGAAGAGTCCTCTCCCAAAGTTACTGGCATGAACTTAGTCCACAATGCATCCATCTATCAAATCCCAAGGAGGAGAAGTCCTCTACTACAAAATTGCCCATTTCAACTTCTGCTTGACTTCCCTAGGACCTTCAAAGTTATGCACTGATGCTTTGATCTAATACACAGGTGATGTGCTTCAGACCTATATGAGAGGACAGTGACAAGCTGGGAGCAATAAGGGCTGCAGAAATCAGGCCACAGTCTTCTTTCCCATGGCTGAAAGGAGGAACTGAATTTCTGGGGAACTTTAGTCCAGCTCCTCTGCATGGCAAAAGTTAGTTACTACATTGCAACCTTCTGTAAAAGCAGGAAGCAAATAGCTTGTCACAAACAAATGAGAAAGCTCACTAAAGCAGCAATGTTTGCTGAAACCAAAATGAGCTGATTCCAATGTTTGTCATGTACTGTGAACATTAGAACAAATGCTAAAAGTGAACGGCTTGTTTACAATCCACTCTCCCATTAAAACTCAAGCTTTGATTCATATAAACTCGCCTTATTATTCATTATTAGTACTCATGTGGGAGCCGTTTATAGTCTTTATTGACCAATGATGGTGTTTGCGTAAACATGAGATCAATATCAACGGCATTAAGCTAAGATGATCTCTGAGCTCTCAGCAAGTTTCTGGCTCTAATTATTGTTCTGGATGACTGAAAGGAAACATTTTCTGAAGTGCCCAAACCACTTAGCCATGTCCGTCATTTTTACTCAGACTTCTCAGAAAAGTTGATTGAAAATATCTGCAGGACATTCTGAGTTTGTGGCAGGAATGTTAATGCTGATATTTTGTTTATAATTCACATTTTTATTTGGAATTGCTACACCATTGGTTTGTCAGGGTTTGGGACCTGTTTCCTCATGAAAGGAGAGAGATGTTTAGAGTCTGGAGCCTAGGGAAAGGTAGGCAAAGTGGGATAGCTAGACACTGGGTAGCGTGGTGATAGGAAGAAATAGCTCATTCCCAGGAATCAGTGTGGCATTGCCTTGAGTATCAAGCTTTGAGAGAGAAGATATAACCAGTCCTGCTCCTTTTTCCCTTTTTCATTGAAGACAATGACAATGAGGTCAGTTGAGAACGCACAGCCATCAGTATCTCAGACAGAGCTAACTAAGCACTTAGGGAAGTGAATAGGAATCATTTTTGAAGCTACATCACTTGCAATGTCGTAAAATAATGAATCCAGCTGTTCTGTCTCATGCAGCCACGTTTCGAAATGTTGGCTTAAATTTTAATGAATGAGCTGAGGCTTTTTTGGCAGAAACTCCAATTGCTGGAGCCAATGAGTTTGAGACTCATCAAAATAATGAAAGTGAACTGTAGGTGATGGGTTTTTTGTTTTGCTTCGATCTACCAGATGAATAAAAGCAGTGCTGGCAGCCAGAGATTGATCTCAATGGTGTAACTAAAATAAGTCATTCCAGCTGGAAATTGTGACAACATGAGTGTCTGCCGCTTGGAAGGCAAATGTCTCAGTTGTCTCTACATTTCTTTTTGATTGATGACTCCCACTTTTTCTTGGGCCATATTCTAGCAGCAGCAAACCATTGCCCCATGACCACAGTTTAGCGTGTAGACACTATGAGGCCTCCCACCCTGATTGGGACCTGGCCAAAGCAAGGCAAGGAGCTTTGCAGAGAAGGAGGCTGAACAGCCATCTTCCCTGCAATAGTAGACGATCATCTCAGGAGCATCATGCATTAGAAATTACTTTCTTGTAGAGAGTCAAAACCGTTTCTGAAAAAAACACGTCATGAACCGGTTCTCAGCAGGCAGGTAGCTCTGTAGCAGCCTCGTGGTTAGGGCTCTTGCCTGAAATATGGAAAATGTGTGTAGGCTGCGAATAAGCAGAGGTTGGAAAAGACCAGTTGTATCCTCAGCTGTGGGTACAAGCAAATGTTGAGTCTGGGTGCTTTGGGAGCCCTGAGAAGGAGCAGTGATTGATAGCACAGGATAGGCAGTGCAGGAACATGGGTGCTCTGAAACCAGGTAATCCAAATTCTACCTACATCCCAGGCAAAATGCGACATCACTGATCCAAACATCTCCCTGAGTCATTATTTCAATGAAAAGCAAAGCTTTTAGGTAAGATATAAAAACAGAAGTCATGCCAGCCTTTCTTTCTCTCTTTCTCTCTTTCTCTCTTTCTCTCTTTCTCTCTTTCTTTCTTTCTGCCTTTCTGCCTTTCTACCTTTCTGCCTTTCTTTCTGCCTTTTTCTTTCTCTCCTTTCACAGGTTGTTCCCAGGTGAGGACCTCTTTGTTCTCTGTCAATGACCATGATTCATCAGCTCACTTGCTTTTATTTCCTTCTCTTTACATTTCCTTATTTATTTATTTTTTCTCCCTGGGCTTTTTGCTTCCCACAGTAGGTCAGAGCCTGAAACCTCTGACGACAGCTTGGCAGCCGTGTGTGAAGGGCTTTGTAAATCTCTGGGGCTCAGATAGTCCAGCCCAGTAGTGAAAGGTGGTGGGTGTTCTGCTGATGTGTTGCATTATTCTGACCCTCTGCGAGCCATGCAGGGTTTGTGGGTCCTTACCTCTTCCAATATTTGTAGAGCCTGCATTGGGAGGGAGATCTGGCAGCAGCTTCAGATACAATGCTGAGACTCCCAGGGAAGAAGAAAGTGAGCATTAGCTGGTTCTGTCTTATCTTCTGTAAGCTGTGTTAGGGCAGAAGCACCAGCTGGCACACAGACCTTTTTTAGCTTCACTATTCTGCATCCTCGAAGAAGGTAGCTTTTAGAAGATGTCTTGGGTAAAGTCTTTTCCAGCAAATGAATCAGTGCTGGGACAGAACGAATGAGGAAGAGAGATACTAAAGTCCAAGAGAGCAGCTCCTTATTAACCCCGTAGCCTTTCTTTGTAGGCACATGAAGGCACTCGCATTATTCTGACCCTCTGTGAGCCATGCAGGGTTTGTGGGCCCTAAAGTCCAAGAGAGCAGCTCCTCATTAACCCCATAGCCTTTCTTTGTAGGCACATGAAGGCACTGCATAGGTGCAGATAGCAAGTTAATAAGTGTGACCTGCTAGAATAATTTGTGCGGCTCTGTAACACTTAAAGGGGGGGTTTCCTTCTCTTCCCCCACAGAGACTTGAAGCTAGACAACGTCCTCTTGGACAATGAGGGGCACATCAAAATTGCTGACTTTGGGATGTGCAAGGAGAACATGTTTGGAGATGCGAAGACAAGCACTTTCTGTGGGACTCCTGACTATATTGCTCCTGAGGTAGGTGTGGGGTCCAGGGAGATCAACAAGCTGCTGTGGGACATAGAACATGTCTTAAGACCTGACTGTTGGTCAGTGGTGGAGGCTGCAAAGAGTAATAACCTGCTTTGAGCAGTTCCAGGCTAGAAGCTGGATTCGAGTATGACTCAGAGCCTGTGTTGCTGTCTGGCATTGCATATTTTTGTGGCTTATTTATTTTTTGTGCAAAAATAAATAGATCCAAGAGGTAGGTCCTCCAATTCAGGGACAGAAAGAGCACGCGGAATGGGAAGCGTGTTCCCTAGCTAGTTAAAATTAGGCTTCCATGGCTGTACAGGTTCCTTGATAGCTGGTAGGGAGCTATGGTCAGCTCTAAGAGATGATGTTCATTACAGCCTAAGGGACAAAATAGAGAAAGGCAGGACAAAATGCCCACCTGGAGCTGATTCTCCCTCCTCATTGATCCTCCAAATCACCTTTTAGATAGAGAAGAGAGGCTGGGTCCACAATAAAGCAGAGATTGGGGTTCACCTTCCCTCTGGGATATGCTCTGATGCTTGAATAGGGATGGCACCCATAAGCTTTGACTTCTCTCTTACTCAGACAGATTCTTAGCTGGCTGCAAACACAGCCTGCATCACAAGCATCCTCCCAGAGACGTGTAAGGCACTATATGCTCTGAAAAGGCTCTGCCATCAGAGGCGTAACCTGAAAACTGAGCACAGGCTTGAAGGTCTGTCTAGATCTAAAAAACTACCAATAGTGTCTGTAAAAGGGATGGAGATGCTGGGAGACATAAACATGAGAGTGGTCATACATCCTGCTTTTCTCCTCCAAATGCCAGCAGTTGGAGAAGAGAGATTGCTGTCTGGAAGACAACTGGGACCTGCCTCTGATTCTCTGCTTTGGCTGTGCACAGTGCCAGAGCACCTCATGTCACTGCATGAATCCATCCCTGGAGGACATGCCTGCACAAGTTGCCTCCTGGTGAAGGAGGCTCTAAAACTAGAAATGATGGAGTTGAATAGGGGGAGGCTGTGCTTGAGCTGACAAGGTCAAGGCAGAGCTTGTACCTTGTGTTAAGATTCTGCTCTGTCCCTTTGACTAGGAAAGGATGGGCCTTGCATGGAGAGTCTCCAAACTCCCTGCAAAAAAATACCAACAGTTCCTCTTCTCCTTCTGCAGTTGGTATCTATTGATACCTGATGGAGAAAAGCTGACTCTGGCCTCCATGTGCCCATGCAATGAAACTGGGTGGTTACAGACACCTGACTCCAGCTTGCCAATAACAAGATCCTTTGCCCTTTCCCTTATTTCTTTCCATTTTTTCCCAGACACAAACTTGTTCTTTTTTTTTTTTTTTCCCCTAGTAAATTTAGATACTTTGGACTAGATCCCTCCAGAAAAGAGAAAGCTCCCTTAACCTGGTGATTTCACACAATTATAGATCTTAATATGGAGAGGCCTTGACTAATTAGGTGGCAAATTGGGGCCAAAGAAAACATTTTTCAGCTCAGAGAAGAGCCTACGAGTCATCCATGCATCATGTCCGACATCACTCTGAAATCCATTTATTTGCCTTTCAAGATCCCATTTCCTGATTTTAGTGTTTTCATGATGGATATTTGTACTTTTCAAATAGCTTTAAAAGCTTTTGGGTTTTACCCCTCCACTATAATGCATTGATCTTTCACTGTGCACCAAGGGCTCAATTCTGATCTCAGTTACACCACTGCTGACAGAAGGGGTGGTCTCTTCAAATCAGTTGGATTTGTGTTGCATAAGAGCAGGTGTAAGTGTGCTCTGCAATCAAGGTGTAATTGTCTTTTATTTCACTTCAATATGCTTTTATTTTAACCAAAAAAAAGCTATTTTCTGATCCTAAAAAAAAAAAAGAGAGCTAAGTGATAATCCATTATCTGTGATTTTACTTCATAGAAAAGACAAAGACTAAAATAGTTCAGAGTTTTATTTCTGCACCATCATTTATTTTAGAGATTCAACGAGTGCATATAAAACATTTTACCTCTAAATTGAAGGCACTGCTAGAGTTTATGGATCATCTCTCCCCCCAGAGGCAGGAGCACTGGACTTTTTGTCAGTATTTCAATGCAGCTGCTAGCACTGTAATTTGTTACAGACCCAGCACCTTGGCTACAGCCATGCAAATAAGGGGGCCTGGGGTCAGTAGAATAGCAATTTTTTAATTTCAGAAAATATTTGACAAAAAAAGACTTAACCTGAAATGAAATTTCTGAGTTTATTTACTTTTTTTTTCCAGAGAATTGTAAAGCTAATACAACTTTTCTTTAACTGCCATGAAACATTTAATTTCAATTTCCAGACATTTTATACTTTAAAAGGTAAAGCCTTATAAACCTAATATGTCTTTTCAGAAGGAAAGGCTGGGATGATTTTGTTTATAAGTGATCCAGAAGAAATATATTAGGAAGTCTTGCTGATTCCTTTTTTTTTTTGGCTCTGAGTGAAACACATTGTATATATTGCATCTTACATTCAAATAGCTTTTATGTCCTTTTAGAGTCTCCTCTTTTCACTTGTTTGGAGACAGATGTCTTAGTCATGAGCACTCTACATCAGCTCGAGTTTAGACTTCTGATATTAAGGTGCTGCGTTGCTAGATGTCACAGGTACATGAGGGGGATACTTCTCACCTAATATGAGAGAATTAATCGAAAAATGAAACATTAAATGGCATTTTATAATGCTGTAGAAGGATGAGCATCCCAGAAGACCAGTCATCCTTTCCTATCTAAGTCAGTTAAATCAATGTTTTCCCTCCATTGACTATAGCGAGACTCTGGATAACTAAATTAATGAGACACATAACTTTTGGCAATAAGATGAATCTGGGCCCATGTGGCAATTTATAATCAATGAAGACAAGCTATGAAAACAGTCAAGAAATTACTCACCCACTTCCACTGTACCTCTGAGCCAGCGGTAAAGATCACCTCTCTAAATCATAATTTTTCAACTATCAGCAGTTTCATGTGTACTGATCTGGATAGTTGTTCTCACTGGTATTAAACCGTCTCCAGGGCTTGTCATTGATACCTATGCCAGATCTATAGTATAGGGTATTACAGTGCAACCAAGCTGTGGGCTCAAGACTGAATATTGTGCCTTAAAATGAACTATTCCCCTCTCCAGCTCTAAAATCTTGATAAGGATGCTAGACCTCATAGTCATCACATCTACCTTTAGACATCTGCAATGTAAATATCTATATATGAGCAAGTTGTCCAATCTCCTTGATAACCAAAGGGGACAAACAGGGGGTCGTATTTTACAGCAGGTAGATATTCAGCTGAATGTCTAAAATTGGACTCATTCTCTTCCTTGACTACAAAAAGAGCTAACCATAACTGGTTCAGCTCTAATTGTCTATAACAGATATCTAAAGGCAGGTGAAATTAATTTTGCTTCCCTAGAGGGAAAGTTTGAGAACTTGGTGATATTTGGCCAAGTTTGTAGGGTAAGAAAAGGGCACATCCTTTCTTAGGGGAAGAAAAGGGCACATCCCTTCTTAGGGGATGTCATCACTCCAGCCATCCCCCCTGGCCCCCACACATTGGATGTAGCCTTCACTTTATAGTTGACACACAAAGGCACAAACCAATTGATTGACCAAACTCTCATTGCTCTAGCTACAACTCAGTTGCTCTCAAGAGGATAGATCAGCAACTGCTTTTTAATGTTTTTCCTGGGACAGATGTTGCTGGAAGAGATTCACACCATTTCTATGGACTGACAGTCCTAAAGTTCCCTTACATTGCCACACTTGTAGTTTTAAAATACAGCTTGTGTGAGGTAAATCAGTCCTAAGATGTTAATGCTTAACCATTTGTCTTCTTGGACTTCGTGAACCTGATTTGAACCTTTGGGATAACTTGGAGGGCAGGCAAAAGATGACTTGCCTCCCTTTTCATGTTTGAGATCTCTCTGGTAGCCAAGGATTTATTCAAGTTACTGAAGGCTTACGTGCAACCTGTCACCTGTGGTGTTAAGGGCTGGTTTGTCACCCAGGTGTGGCTGTGACTTGGAGCTCTTGGCAAGCACCTCTGCTATCCCACTCAGCACAAAGCAGCAGTTGAAAGGTCAAGGTCTGGCCACCCTTCTGAAGTTGAAATATGTCAGACATTTTGCATCTGTCTTTGTCACTCCTCCCTTTGGGCAGATATTGCTGGGGCAGAAGTACAACACCTCCGTTGACTGGTGGTCCTTTGGTGTCCTCCTGTATGAGATGCTTATTGGGCAGTCTCCTTTCCATGGCCAAGATGAAGAGGAGCTTTTCCAGTCTATCCGTATGGATAACCCGTTCTACCCTCGCTGGCTTGACAAGGATGCAAAGGACATTTTGGTGAAGGTAAGAATTGCCACATGTCAAACAGAAGTTCTTTTGTGAGAACTGTCACCTTTGATTTGTGCATCTTCAGCTGTTGTTCAGAGAAACAAATTTAGTGTGTTAGGACCAGAAAGAGTCACTTTCTTGTCTGAGGACCTCAAAGAACACCTGATCTAAGTCATAAGGCCATCTCTACGTCTTCTTTCTCCTGAGCTTTGATAATGGCTCCTCACATCCAGAAAGTTGGATTGCAGGGTATCATATACCAGCAGAGATCAGTTTATTTGCAGAGCAATCCTTTAGGTGCAAGGCATGTTAAATCCTGGAAAAGATACTCTGCCAGGCTTCAAACTAGGAGTTACAGGAAATTATGGGTTTGAAGTGGTTCATGTGCCTCTGAGATAGGAGAACGTCTGGGGTAGATTGCCTTGGTGTTCAGCTTGATTTTCATGAGAGAATTTTTAACATGTTTGCACTGAGCTAAAGAGCAGGTTGACAAAGCCTGAGCTGTGTCCTGAAGTGGCAGAACCCACTGAAAATAGTAGCACCATGTCATTTGCATTTTTGGCCCTTTTAATCTCCTACATGGGAATGTCCACTAGACCAGGTTGCTCAAAGCCCCATCCAACCTGGTCTAATTAATGGAGAAAAACAGACAGCTTAGGTGCAAATCTTCTGACCAACTTTACAGGGCAGGCAGGTTGGAACTAGATGAACTTTACGGTCCCTTCCAACCTAAACCTTTCTGTGATTCTATGAATTATAAAGGATTGGATACAGACACTCCAGTTGTCCAAAGGTATAGAAGATGAATGCAACTCCACATAGGCTAGGCTAGTATTTTCACAAATTATGCTTATATTTCAACAGTAAAAGAAATCCTGATAACAAGAAATTGTCCAAACAAAAGCTTGCAAGTGTGATCTAGATATTTCACCTGTGTAGTTGCATATTTGCAAGCTCAGACATGTATATTGTTGCCCCTGTAGCAAATTTGTCCTCTCTCTGCTGCAAAGGAAAAACATGGTCAAGGTCTCTCAGTTTTGGCCTATTAGGCTAAGAATCTGAACTGGCTCCCTAATGAGAAATTTTCTAAGTTAGAAGAGTCTTCACACTCTCACCAACCGTGCTTGAGTTTGAAGTCTGAGACCCTACCTGGGAGCTCTGCCATAATGAATATACTGTTATTGATAAAAGACTAAGGTATTTATCTTCCTTCAACATTCTAGCTTTTTGTGAGAGAACCTGAGAGGAGACTGGGAGCAAGAGGAAACATCCGCCAGCATGCCTTTTTCCGGGAAATAAACTGGGAGGCTTTAGAAGAAAGAAGGATGGAACCTCCTTTCAAACCGAGAGTGGTAATGATGCATCTTCTTTCATTTGCACTCGTCTCATGTCTTTCTTTTCTTGAGTCATTCATTCCCTAAATATTTAAACCCTCCAGCTGGCATTAAACCAAAGCCAGGACCCACAGTAATGTTGTAAACACATTTATTTAGGGGCACTGTCCAAAATCTTCAGCCATGGGTCTTTAATATCAGAGACCTCAAAGCCTGTTTAGATTCATGGTGTCAGCCTTTTAAAGGTCGAGAAATGTTTGCTTCACACTGGAACTAACCATTTTAGGCACCAAGTTAATGCTTTCAAAATATCCTCAAACTTTTAGGGTTATCTTCTGGAGTTGTTCTGTACATGCAACTTCTCTGTCTAAAAGTAGATGGAGGACTTTGGTGTTGGGCAGTCAGAATGGAAAGTGTTTACTCCTACTTACATGTCCAAATGCAGGTTAAATTGTTCATAGGCTGTCTGGTATGGTGTGTACATCAGATACAAGCAGCTGGAACCATCTACAGTTTGGATCTGCCACAGCCTCCAGTCATTGGAAAGACAATTGTGAACTATACACCTCTATTGGCTGGGATGCCTTGCTTGGTCATCATGACTACTCCTTTCTGGTGGCTGTAAGCCCAGGTCTGGCATGCCCACACCTGACAAACCATAAATTACTCATTATTTTCTCAGTTACTATAGCAGGGGTCTGGATGACACTTAAAACATCTTAACCACATAAGTGCAACCCATTCTGTGATTATCTTTCACTGCACTGCAGAAGAAAAAACAGTTCAAATAACCATGTGGTTAGCTAAGTCAGGACTGTTAATAGCAGTCCAATTAAACTATTAAAGTCCTATTATGACAATAATATAATTTAATTTGACAAGTGCATCATACTTTCATTTTACAGTCCTTCAAAAGTGTTATTTACTTGATGGGTCCAGTCTGCTGTGTTACAAAGCTGTAACATCCCTGCCTGGCAGAACTCATGGATCACAGGCTCAGTGTCTCCATTACTACTTTAATAGGACGGTAATAAGGAAGTGGTTCGTGCTTGTTGCTGGATATTAAGAGCTCAGACAGAAGTTTGCTGCAGTTTGACAGGTTACTGTGCATCGTTTGGGCTGCAGTAGCTTAATCATTGTGCAAAAAGCCAAGAGCAGATGCATTGGGGGTTCCCTGGCTGAAATGAGCTCGCTCCTGACTGGTTGAGCTGAGCCCATAGGAAGCAGACCAATAGGGCCAGTAACATTAGAATGAGGATCTAAATATTAGTGGTTTGACATCAATTTTTTTTTTCTTTTTCTTGAAGAAATCTCCGAGTGACTGTAGCAACTTTGACAAGGAATTCCTAAATGAAAAACCTAGACTGTCCTGTGCCGACAGAGCACTGATTAACAGCATGGACCAAAATATGTTCAGCAACTTTTCTTTCGTGAACCCTAAAATGGAGAAAATATTTTCCTGAGGTCTGCCTTACTGAAGGAATTCTCTGTAATTGTTTGAGTAACACTTTGTCGACTGAAGACTGTGCATGGTTGTTTTTATCAAGAACCCTCCAGAAAAACACATCAGTGAAGTTTGTACCATACCTCTGGTTTCTCTGTAAGAAAAAAAAACAAGTGTATTTGAGCTTCTGGTGATGTCAGTGCCCATTTCTGCAATTATCTACTAGGCCCTTCTTCTGAAGGACAAGTAGTTTGCTCAAGTCCTGAGGGCATCTGGGAAGACTTCAGGCTGGATGCCTTGGTAACCTCCACTTGTACGTATGCAGAAATGTGCATGTGTGCTCAGGAGTTGTTTTTAAGAAGCAATTTAACTCCCTACACACTTTAAAAATAATGTTCACAGGTGTTAGGATTCGATTTTGGAATTGTGACAAAGAGACTTTGCAGGTGCCCATTCCAGCATTTGTACATCTCAATCAGAGGCCCCAGAACTAAGGACTCAACTCTGAAGGAGGATCGTTGCCATGGCAGAAAACCAGTGGTTTATACTTCATATTTGAAGGATGGGAAGCTGCAGACCAGCAGAAAGCCTCGAAAGCCCCTGTTCTAAAGCTTTAACCATCCTCACACACACCAGGCTCAGAGCAAAATCTGGGCTGAGCTTTCTGGAGTTTTATCCTAAAACTGCATGAGAAAGATGGAAGAGGTATCCTCCAGCCATTGTTTAAGCACCATAAAACTGGTCTTCCAGTCTCAGCATTGGTATATTTTACTTGAAGGGTGTTAAACAGTCCTTGCAAAGGCCGATATACTTTATATCACTGTAAATGATGTTCCAGCTCTTTGGCATGCATGGTGGGCATAGGTCAACAAGCAGCACCCAACAGTCACAGGGCAGGACAGCACATCGGGTGAGGTCTCCTTCACCTTGTGACATTTTGCTGTGTGTTCTATCCCTTTGCAGCCTGTGGAAATGTAGATGGGTTGAAAAAAAAAGTCTTTTCTGCACTTCTTTCACCGTGGGAGCCTTTTAAATAAAGATGAACTGCTTTCTCAGGTTGGAGAGATGTACAACCATCCGGTTCCTGCTTGTCACTGAGACACCAGTTAAATACTGGCTCAAAATTAAGTCAAACCCCAAATAGAGGATTCTGGAAGAGCTTAGACTTAGGCAGTCACCCAAGTTGGTGGTTGTGCTCTAATTGAAGTGTATACATTTGGAGCTTTGTTGCATCAACCCCTCTAGTCCATGGAGAGGAGAAGCTCCAGAAGATGAGTCATCCCAAAATGAGATTCCCTTCAGAGGTGCTTTTCTGGCTCTGCTGGAGCTGGTTGTCAACTTGGACCTTCCAATAGGACGGATGCAGCCGTGAAGGCAGTGCTGGGGTGTCGTTGGCCCTGGCTGCAGGCACCGAATCCTGCAGGACCACGATCAGAAGTGCCTAACTTCAGTTAGAAAAGCAGAGCATCCTGAAAAAGGTTTCAGTCCAGTGACACACATTGAAAACCTTGTTTGTGCTGCATGAAATGCAGGGGGCATCTGTGCTCACAGTTTGTACAGCTGGTCATCATGTTTAATTAGAACGGTTAGCATGAATTTTTTAAATGCCAGTGCTGTTTGTACAGTTTAATAAAATGTTGTGTACAATGGGAAAGCGGGCAGTGAAGTGATTAAATAGGGGCAAAGAATAGGGGTGCTTAGAAAAAGCCATTTAAATGGCTCTGCGCTCTCTGGGGCATGTTCCCCAGAGGAATTTCAACCCATAAATACACTGGATCAGCAAGCATTAGCACAACTGTAACTACTCCACAGATCAGTATCTTAAAAGAAAAGGATTTGGCGCTCTGCAAAGGTATCCGTGGAGAGACTAAAATGTTCCGTTTCACCACCAGAAGTTGACACAGCTGTAAATGAGGTCTGGTATCTCAAAGGGGTCACAGAGCCAGATGTGCAGAGGTCGTTACTATTAGAGGGCAGTTCAGGTCACCTTCCTTTGACACCTGAATGAGGCTGGATTATCCGAGTTCTGGGAGGGCCTGACTCCCTCCACATGCTATGGATGGAGCCTGGATGGCCACATCCAGACTAGAGACTGCATTTCTAATCATTTGAAGATTGGTAGCACCTTACTCTAAACAACCGTTAAGGATGATTTCTTTGCAACAGCACAGTGGTTTGTGCTTGACACCAATGTGGGGACACCCCAAGAGTGTAAAGTAAGGAAGTCAGGTGCTGAATCACCTCTTGTGGTTAAGTAACTGAAGAGCAACAGGGTTTAACACCTCTCTGACCAGAGGCAGGGCTCTCTGCACATCATCTGTGGTCCCATAAAGCTAAAGCAGCCAAACGGAAGAGTAAATGCTAGAGCAGAGATGGCATTAGGCTTACTTTAGGGCTTTTGATGCAAACCACAAGAAGAAGTGCCTGCTTCTCACTGCAAGGTGTCTTCAGCTTAAAAACCAAAGAAACCCATTAAGGATGGGGGCAGGGAACCGGGGAGAGGTGGGTACGAGCCACCACGAACATGCGTGCCGTGTGTCTCACCAGTCCCACATCCTGAAAACCCTCCCAGCTGTGCCTGTGGTGTGTGAAGAGTGACGTGGTAAGCGGCAAGCGTTTTCCTGTGGTGGCAACGATTGAGAGATAGGAGCCAGTGAGGACTGAAAGCCAAACACCCGCACGGAAATGAGCACGAGCACAAGTCCTCACAGAGATGCTCCTTTGCCTTGGCTAAACCTGGTACCTCCGTACCCATCTTGTCTTTTCTGCTTTCTTTTTTTTCCCTTCCTTTTCTTTCCCGTCCTCCACAAAATGTTCATTTTATGACATAGTAGATGGGCTGGAACTTGCCAGGTTTGGTTATTCATTCGCTGATGGCCCAATTCTGTTCTGGAGCCCCATGGGATCACAGCAGTGCTGTAGGAGCATGGCATCTGCATATATCAGGGTCTGACCTCCAGCCCCACCCAATTCAACTCAAGGTTTGGTAGTCCTCACCACCCAACTGCTCTTTCCCCAGTCTTGCTGCTTTGCTTGAGAGATGCACAAATTCCTACTTCTTGGCACTCACCAAACCAAACCTCAGGCTGAAAATGGGTCATGTTGAGTGGGATTCACCAGTGAGTGACAGCCCTGATTTCAGCCCTCCTGCAAAGACCTCCCAGAGGAGGTTGGTTGGTTGGTCTCACAGCTCCTCAGCATGTTGCCCAGGTGTATGTTTGCCTCTCCCAATGGGAAGACCAAGCTCCATCTTGCACCCCACCATCCTCTTTGTTGCCCATTCAGAAAGGAAAGGCAATTTTGCCCAGTGACTACCAGGCACATCTTGCAGTGGAGATATATCACCAGAAGTCTCTGTCAGCTAGTACAGCTCCAAATAATGGGTACTGCAAGTAGGTGTGCTCCTCCCTCTACTATTGCATTTGTACCTTAGACACTTAAAACCCAAGAGTGGGATCACAGCTGTGACATAAACTGCTCTCTCACTCCAAGAGATGCCAGCTCAGCCTGGCGTATCACCTACAGCAGCCAAGATCATAATCTATACGTGCCCCAAAGCGTGCCTTGCGGTGTTCTGAAGCCAGCGGAGGTCTCAGTACAGACCACAGGAAGCTTTTCTACCTTCCTTACTAAGAATTGTTGTCTTTGCTGTATCACAGCACCCAAGACAGCACATGCAGAGCTGGTGAAATACAGGCATTGATGTATTTCTGGCTCTTCTGTAACTGGCACTGGTGACTGTACCTGACATGATGGGGTCCATTCTACTGTTTGGTAAAAGGTGTGATGGAGTCCTTTATCCTCTATATTACCTTCATGTTTATATACACAGGGATATGAAATAATTGAAAAGTGAAAGCAAAGTGAAACAAAGAAAAAGTGTCTTCCCTTCTCCCACACTAAAGCAGAAATAACCAGAGAGGCACAAAGCATAGTATTTGTGGTCTTTCAAGAACTGTCTTTGCATTCAATCTCCACCAGGACATTCAGTTTAATTTTGAATCTGAAGATCTGGTGAGTCAAAAAGTCAAAGCAGAGCTCTGCCAAAATTTTTTTTCTACCTGCATAAAAATGGTACAGAAGCTCACTGCAACCCCCCAACATCTTTTGAGATGGTCAACAAAGGCTAGATGATCTCTCAGTGGGGTTAAGTGAAAGCAAAACTGAACTAACAATATTCAACACAACCTTCCAGAGACACATGTCTTAGGGGGAAGACAATCCTGTGGTTAGGGATTACTGAGTCTTTGTAGACCCAGATTTATTTCCAAGTTCTGCTATACGTATGTCCTGTGGCCTGGTGCAAGCACTTTGACTTTTCTTCCTCTGAATGGACATAGTTCATACCCAGTTGCTCTAAGTTGTTTGAACAGAGGCTCACAGGATGGAATTCAAGCTCAATTAAACAGAGTTGTCTAAAAGTATGTAAAGTTCATAAAAATTTAACTAGCTGTATCCAAAGTAATCATCTGTATTTTCTCTATTATCAGTAGAAAGAGTCTAAGAGTGATTCATCCCATCCTAAGACAGAAAACCAGAGTTGTCCTCTGAACTTTCTTTCCCTCCACTTCCTAGAAAAGTAGGCAAGTGCTGCCCTGTGTGTGTTTGCACATCACCTCAAAGATGGAGGTGAGCCTTAAGAGTCTGTAGACCCCTTAGACTCCTTCTTGCCCTCCTTGAATATAGGAGTGACATTTGCTTTCTTCTGTTATGCACTTCAGTTAAAGGCCAGGCTCATGATACAGGTCTTGATCACTTTGAAACCAAAAAGATCCTACCTGTCTGTCTGTGGCTGGATATAGCCCAGTTGTAGTCTGCCTGCAGCTTAGCTTAGAAAGCTAAGATACTAAGTCACAGACTTTTCCTACAGTCAATTGCTGTAAAGAAGCTGAAGCCCTTTTAGGAGTATTTGAAAAGGTCCTGGGACAGCCACTGGTAGGTTGAGATCTAGCAAGACTCTGCCCCTATGTGCCTTGCCTGAACAGAGCCTGGGTCCATGCTAACATGGTGGGTGTGCTTGGGCTCTCCAGCTTCAGTGCAGCTACAACCTGCAACTGCACCCAAGGGAGTTGGGTAGTGAGTGATGCACTGGTCTTTAAAGCCATCCAGGACCCCCAGTGTAACTGATCTGTAGCACTCAGGAGCATGGTCAGTCACTTAACCTGAGATTTCTCATCGAAGCAATGATGTTGCCTCCAAAACTTAAGTGGGTTGAAAGCTTGGCTAAATAACTTGAGTATCGTAGGAGATGCTTGGTTAAGACGAACCTACAGGAATGATGAAGGGCAGAGGCTCTTTCTCATTCTACATTTTCACATGTTAAATTAAAAAAACACTTAATCTCTGTTCCAAGGAGCAACTGAATTCTGTCTGTCTGGGACCCATCTATCACACAACCCATGCTGCTCCACTGCCTAAACAAAAACCTGCCGGTGTATAGCAGCTGAAGACATGAATCATTATTTTAATAATCACCTAGAGGAAAGCATGCTGTTTGAGGGGAGAGAAAATAAAAATTAAGCATCACATTTAATTTATGATGCGGCCCTTTATTTTAAGGGAACATAAACAGAAAATATTCAGACATCAAAGGAAGAATCTCAGCTTTCACTTCTAAATTCTTCTTTATTATTGTTGTTAGCCTCCCAGTAGCAATGAAAATGAGTTCCCCAGTAATCATTTCCATTTAATTTTCAGCTCCTTTCTGTTGATAACATTGTGTATAACCTTTTTTCTAACACTTACTTTAAATTGTGTACTTTGATATTCCATTCAGCTAGTGGGGAAAGAAAAATCCCCTCTAAAAAAGCCATTTTATCTCTGCTCTACATGAGCTTGGCAGGGTAATGTGATATCTCAGAGAGTATATTTATTTTAAATCACTGGTGTTTTCCAGCAGGGTGAAATTCTTCAAGATATTCAAGGCTCATTGCCTCCATCCTTTCCCAAAAATGTCATGGGGCCAAAGTAGTGGAGAAAAAGGGACAAAACAGCAACCCTCATTCAAAAGAATCAATAATCAACCCAGAAAATCAACTCAGTTCATCAGCTGTTTTGATGAGGTCTCCACTGACTATCACAGGACCAGGAGACCTGTCTCCCATGTAGGTACCTAAAGTCAAGACCTTAGAGCCCCTTCCAGTACATAAAGGGGCCTACAGGAGAGATGGGGAGGGACTCTTGATCAGGGAGTGAAGTGATAGGATGAGGGGAAATGGTTTTAAACTGAAAGGGAGGAGATTTAGGTTAAATTAGGAAGAAATTCTTTACTCTGAGGGTGTTGAGACATTGGCCCAGGTTGCCCAGAGCAGCTGTGGATGCCCCATGACTTGGATCCACAATTTCTGAATACCTGGTCATCTTTGCACATGGAAATTTAGTTTATATCAGTGACTCTCAGGCTCTTTTTCTCTCATTCACTCACTGTGTTTAAATTATTCCTTTCTTTTTACTCAGTCAGCGGAGAATTTAAATTTGCTGATGTCAGGATCTCTGAACAGATGGGAGAGCAGTATTGATTATGCAGTTGAGAGTAGGACATAAATAGCTTGTTAAAAGTAAATAATAATAGTTTAAATGTTGTGTACAAACCTTTATAAAACCTAGTGAAGCAAATCAAATAATCCTTCCCAGAAATCTATCCGAGTTTTTAAC